TTATTTGGGATTGCAGGATACCATCTCCAGCTCCGTTCTCGGGGTGGTGGGGGGGAGAGAGAGAGGCTGAGACTGAGACTTTTGGCTTCATGCAAGGAAAGCAGCAGAAGTCTTTCTTTCTCCCTCCTAAACTCCACCAGAAATGAGTCTTTGCCGGTGCAGCCTCTTGGAGCAAGATGTCTTGCAGGGTCCCAAAGACTGGAGTTTGGGGGAAAGAAAGACTTTTGCTGCTTTCCTTGTGTGCAGCCAAAAGCAGAAGAAGAAAGAAGCGGAAAGAAGCAGCCCGGTGGCCAGGCCAGGCGCATGGGGCACATTCCCCCCTCCGATCTTTCCCCCTTCCCCTCACTACCTCGTGTTATTTGCAATGCAAGCAATGCAAGCCATGTGTTCCTGTGCAGCCTGGACTAATTGCTTTGGAGGGTGCTTTGGGGGTGACATTTCTCTGCGGACCATCAAAATTTTCTTGCGGACCACCAATGGTTCCCAGTCCACTAAATGGCAACCACTGTTCTAGTCCAACCCCTTGCGCCCAAGGCAAGAGTCCTCAGACCATCCCGGACAAATGGTTGTCCAATTGAAAACCCCCAGTGATGAATAACTGAATTAATATCCATATAACAATGTCATTGCATAAATGGACCAAATATCTGAAAATAGGACTGAGAAAATGTAGATTTGCTGAGTCAATTTTCCTTTCTGCATAATCATGGCATTTCACAACTATTTCTGAATTTAATTTTCCCAATAATGCAGAAAAGAAATTCATAAAACACTATAATTAACAAAGGTCAAATATTTTTAAAAATTAGCCATATTTGGTGAAGCTGGTTATGTGGCTTCCATTTTGAAGGGGATTGAATTAAATTTATTATATACCAGTACTAAATGAACCAAATTTAATGCTCACAGTTCTACTCAAGTAATGCTCCAGCACTACTCAAGTACAAGCTTTCATGTCAGCTTTACCAGGTGGACCAGACAGGAAACATGACCAGAGGCTAATTCTACTTTATTGTAAAGCTATATTAGCAGTGTCTTCTGAAAGGACAATCTCCTGCCACCTCCTTTACAGACCAAGAAACTAAAGAGGGTACCTCCTGAGCCTCTTGCCCTGCAGGCTATGCTGTCTCTTATCTGACTATTCCTTAGCCGCCATCTCGTCATCCTGACTCCCAAGAACTTTCTCACATACATTATATGTTAAGTCCTGTTCAACACTGTTTTTATTTAAATTTTAAGTCACTAGATGTTTTCTATTTTCTGTGCAAAGTATGACAGTGCTGAAACCGATTAACTGAAGCCACTGATTTCTGAATGGGGCAGATACTGTTTCAGAAATTATGTCCTGCCTTACTAGACAGAAACAGTATATTGACAGTAAAGTCCTTCCCACTATCTTCTGGGTAACAACAGTCAAGGAGGGTGGCTGGGGCTTTAATTTGCAGAAGGATGCAGTTTTGAAAATTTTGCAAAGCTACGTAGAACTCAAATATGCCTCTTAAACTTAGGTACACATGCATTAAAGGACTATTTTTCTTTAGTGTAGTATTGGTTTGAATCATAAGTAGAGTTTTGTGGCTGCTAAATCAAATTAATTTTATCATATAAAATTGCTATTTGGATTTCCAAATGTTTCAAAATATGCTTAAATGCTATTTAATTAAAGTAACTATTTTTTCTAAGCACTTTGAGTACTATAATTGCACAACTGACAACAAAATGAATGGCTTTATAAATTACTCATTGTCCAGGATCTAAACAGACCTTTTCAATCATACTCTCCTTACTACCATATTGTAAGCCACTTTTGAAAGTAAGTTCACAAGATAGTTTCACTAAAATATGAAAAAATATGGTTGAAATGAAAAGAAGTCAGGCTAGACTACTAAAACTTGAAGCATACCTGTAAGAGCTCTTCAGATCCCTGGCTACTATAAATTATGTGCTGAGTATAGATTTCCAAAAGAATGTTTATACAAACTAAATATTTTATATTTAAAATATAAAGAGAGATAAACATATTGAATACTTGGCTTTTAGGATGTTTTCATATTTAAGATAGGTATTACCAAAGGAAACCACTCAATTTCTCAAAATCTGAAGTATCTGTTCTAAACGTGATAATTTTCACACTCTATTGGAAGGAATGCTCTCTGAAAATACCTTAAGTCTAGGTGGTTTTTCAAGAGGCATCTAGAATATCAAGAAGGATATGAACAAATTCAATACCCGTAGAAAAAGTTTTAGATGCCAGCTTTTCAAATGTGTATTTATTTTTAAACGAACAGAGGGAAATATGGATTCTAATAATTAAAACCTATTTTGTTAATTATGAACAAACAATTCAGAAGTTTTTTAAAAAGCCAAATGCCATTATTTTCTCTCTCTCCCAATACATAAAGCATCTGATGATGTCAGCTGTTCTAATGTATGCATTCTGGTGCCTTCAAGCAAGCAGATGTAATTAACCAAACAATATCTGTAGTTTCAAGTCTGTTGTCCAAACCAAGGTCTTTGTCTTATTGCTCTTTGAATATGATAAGGAAAGAAGCCAAGAACAAGCTATTATTTTATTCAATGATTTGTTCTAAAAGCTCTCTATTTTAACTGAGAAGAAAAATAATGGAAAGGTTACAAAAAGGGGAGATTGTAAAAGAATAAACTAGTTTAGTGATTGTGAGTAAATTTAGATGTTTTTGTAACAAAACAACCATAGGTTTACATTACAATACTTGTCATAATCTTATCTTGGGTTTTTCCCTTTTACCAACCTCTTCACATTTTCTCAATTTAAAAAAAGCCTAAATCTCTGCAAAAAGTATAGACTTGTTATCTTTATCTCTTACTTTTCCAAAGCTTGTCTCCCTTTTCTACCTTCCATTCAGATAGAAAGAGTTCCTTCATAAAGACAGATTGGAAATGAGTTGATTGTATCACATTATAATTTAATTATATTACATCAATCTTATGCTTTACAAACACAGCCATGCTAAGTCAGCTAGAGCAGGTTCAGTCTACCTGAAGTAAGATTTGTTTTTAACTTAGAGCTGCCAATAGATATTACAATTCTGATTATATTCCAAATGTATTTCCACATATAATTCATTTAGAGAATTTTGATAAGCTTATCATGAATTATTTTGAGCGTTCTGGCTGCTAAGAAGGTCTCTTGAGGGCTTCTCCCAAGATTTTGGGGGGCTGGATGTAACCCAGGAACTTCACTTTGTATTCTCTAATCCACAGAGTGTGGGAGATGTTTTTGTTTAGCCATTTTTACATACGTGAAACATTTAAACTGTTAAAAAATTGAATTTCATTGAATTTCAGCTACCGTTGGTTGAAGGAGGCTGGGCAATCCACAAAGGGGTAGATTTAACATTTTTATCCATTTTCTGAGTTGTTTTAAAATTTGATAGCAATGCTAAGAGTACCTGAAGTTTAATATATCTATTTTTTTCATTGTTTGCTAAAAATCAGCAGGAAGTAATCACATTATTCTTCAGTAATCGAATCCTAAAATGTAATGGCATAATCTTCCACAGTTCCCAAAAAGGGGCTTTGGAGGCTACATCCCTCCCCATAGGTTGTCCAGCCCTGCTCTATTCAATACAGTTGTATGCTTGTAACTGGCTAAGAAAGGAAGATGAGCACTGCCCCCTAGAGCTGGACATAACTGGACAGGGAAAACCGTTATCTTTTATTTTTTCTACTCAAGCACAAAAAATACCCTGTTAAAAATTAATATTAATGGCAGAGTTATGAGTTGTAGACATATTGTTTTAACTGTAACATGGTTTTGATATGCAAGACATTATTTCAATTTACACATCTTATGTATTTTTAACATTCCTTGGCCAGAATCCTGCCAAATTCAAGAACGATTTCTCTCACTCTTTTAATACCGAATCAATTCTGAGAAAAAAATCCAAGCCTTTGAAACTCTCTACTATTCTAATTTACCCTCAAGTCAATTTCAAAAATTAATAAAAAATAATACACTGATTTAGTGGATTTTGAAGATTAATATACAATTGAGAGCAGAGGTTTTTCTTTGGGGAATTGATAGTTCGGAAAAAAGTTGTGGAACTTTGTTTTTGTACACAATAACTGCAGTGAGATTATTACATGCACAAAGGAAAAATTTGGCATTACCCACAATGAGGAATGGTTGGTAAGGATGATGGAATGTGCAGAGATGGCCAGTTGATTTCCTTGATCAGAGAAAAGACAATTATCTATGTTTATAGCTGACCTGGAAACTCTTTATAGATTTTTTGCATGAAACAGAAAAAAAAATTAACTTATGATTTATAGGTTTGATGATTAGACAGGATAGATTATAGAAAGAAGAGAGTTGCATTGTAACCATAAAGTAAAAGGAAACTCTATAACTCTACTTATAACTGCTGGAAAGAAGATTGGAAGATACTTCCTTGTTTTTTTTCTTTTTGTACTTTTAGCTTTCTCTTTAATTTAAACGTCTATGGAGATTCTCAATAATCCAGATCAGGGGTCCCCAAACTTGGCAACTTTGACTTGTGGACTTCAACTCCCAGAATTGAAGAGCAGAGCTGGCTGAGGAATTTTTGGATTTGAAGTCCACAAGTCTTAAAGTTGCCAGAGACCTCTGGCAGATCATAATTGTCTCAAAGGTGCTTTTTTTCTTTCTGTCAAAAGGCAATTGGATTGTTTTTTATTTGAGGAAGAAGACGAAAACGGTTCGCTTCTTATCCAAGAAGCTTCATCAGTATAACAATTCTCTTTGATTTTTTTCTCTCCCCCCCTTACTTTGTATTAGTTTGTAACTTCATTTAAAAAAAAAACATCTTTGAATGAAATGATATAACATAGCAGAAGACCATCACAGGACAATTACAATTTTAATGGCTTAATTTTACTTTTGACAATCTGTACAAGTTTTCTAATTCAAATCACATTGTGTTATTGTTCTCCTAAATCCCAATGAAAGAGAAATGTTTGCAAGTATAGTTGTTACTTACATTTCCCATGTATTCTGAAAGCAGATCTTGTAAGGCTTGTCGCACTGCATTACACTCGGCCACTATGCGTTCCCGTCGGTCATCACGTGTGCAGGATGAGTCAGCCATTAGGGCTGCACCACTAATGATGCTCTCCAAGCGCTCTTCTAAGGATGGCCTAAAACGCTCTTCACTGAAGTTCAAGGGATCTACAATAATTTGTTTCTGTTAAGAAGAAATGGTTCATAACTTTTAATAAAGTGACATGCTGCTCTTTTGATGAAGATCTTTTAAAATTACTATAAAATATGTATCTGCTTTAGATCAATATACTACCCAGAATTAACCCAGTGTAACACTGGCTAAAGCTCAGTCTACAGAGATCTATGTCAACAGTTGGATTTTAGCTGTTTTCTTACCTTCAAGTACTATTTTTTTAAAAAAAACTATAAAACAGTAATATGAACTTAAGATTGCATTAGTGACTTCAATTTGTGGTTTGTCAGTTTTTCAATTTATGTTGTATACTGTTACGCCTTCATGCTAAAGTAATATTCATTAACAAGTTATTATTTTTTAAAAATCAGCAGCTTTTTATTTTTCTTAGAAATTTTCCTAGATGCTAAGGTTTCTTTGATTTGGTATCAGCAGCTCCAAATATTTTAATTACACTAATTATGCCATTATTTTTACCTGTTGATCTTTTTAATGGGTCAACATCAGTTATGCCATTTTACTGCAAGAATTAAACATTTCTCAGTAAAATCTCATATGGCAATATTTTTGTACATTCTATAATATTTTACATATCTGAGAGTGAATTTATTTTGCCCACACTTTGGACAAATGTCCATATTTTGGACAACGTAGCTAGAAGTGACCTATTTGAAATATTAAAAGGGAATTTTAAGAGACTGTGTTTATTAATTTGTTGTACAAGCTGCAGCTGCTCAGATTCTCTCTTCTACATAACTATCAAAGGATACATTAGCCTTGACCTCATTCCAAGAGGTCAATTTGAACAGCTGATCAGGGGGGGGAAATGCTGGGAAAGCTGGATAATGGAAGATAAATTTAGTTGGGAAAAGTACCTTGCAGAAGCTGCATACGGTTGACTAGGAGAAGTGGTTCTCAACCAGATATGAGTATCAGACGTGCCATTAAAAAATAGTTCAAGTGAACACAGAGTAAACTGAAATTGTGTTGAGCACAAACGGCCTTATTTCTGGTTATTTGACAGTCTGTCTGAATTCTGGAAAATCTGAAAGCCTAGCCCCCAAACTGGGAAGCCCATTACACTTTCTGTCGAAAAACTGGAAAATTTAAATTTTAAATAAATTGATACAAAACCCTGATTTTTCAAAAGAGAAGAACTTTTAGTGCTGATATAAAATACAGTTACAAGCAATTTGCATTTCTATATTGCTAGAGTTGGTTTGAGCTGGGCATTATTAAATTAGGTGTTAGTTATACTTAATTTAATAATTCCCAATTCGCATTCCTGCAAATATGTCAGATCCTGCTGTATTTTGAAAGATAGTACTTTTATTAGTTTTTACAATCATAGAATAATGATGTCCCTTATATGTCAAGGTTGCAAATCAGAAACTGTCAATCATATTGCTCCAGAAATATAGTGGCAAAACTTATTTACAGTACAAATTTAAAACTTACATCAAAGTTATTAAGTGCATAAGCCAACTCTCCACCACCACTCTGATGTTGGACAGAATCTTCAGAAGCTGTCGCTTGGGCAGCATTAGAGATTCCTGTGACTGCCTGCTGCAACTGCTTGTAGATCAAGTCCCTATTGGCTTTATAGGCAGCTACATCTGGATGCTGGAGGCAAGCTTGAGAAGCGGTATAAAGAATAGGGATGTTTTTCTGAAGAATTCCTCTGGCTGCAGCCATCTGGTCACGATGACCAATGTCTTTCAGTTCCTGCAGAAACAGTAACATTTTATTTAGGGATAATTTTTTGGGAATTTAGTTTTCTATCAGCAGTGACAAGATGTGAGGCTCCAAGTATAAATCCCAATAGCCAATGGAGTGGGACTGATGCAATCTCACAGCACCTGGAGAGGAACATATTGTCCATTTCTTATCTCAGTGGCCCCCAACCTTTTGGGCACCAGGGACCAGTTCCATGGAGATTTTTCCACAGACTGGAGAGGGCATGGTTTTGCAAGCTGCCTGCATCCTGTGGATGTGGCTTTGCTTGTTTACACAGCCTGGTTGCTGGCATACCATGGCCTGGTGCCAGGAAACCCCTGCCTTATCTGACCTATTTCAATTAAGAAATGTAGGGTAGCGCATATCAGGATGCATCAGGAAATGACATGATTTCTAGAGGACAATAATGTTGGCAAAATGAAGCCTCAAATGTCCATTCTGTAACTGAGGTTACTATAAATTGTCCATCTGAATTGCAAAAAAAAAAGTACAAGCCAAAGCTTAATATCATTATCTATTAGTGTGTATTAAACAGGCAGCAGTGTCTCACAACAAATATCATTCTCATCTCTTTATACCAGTTTACTCATCAGTCTCTCCCATTCTAAGATACTTGACCACACATTCACTTTTTGCTAAAAACAAAACAAAACAATTGGAACAAGTTATTCAACTGAATAATTATGTAATTAGTAATAGTTGCATAGAGGACTCTTGTTCTGTAGCTTTTGAGAAAAATGGGCAGCTTGATTTTAACCTGTTCCATAGAGAAGGAATTGCATGCAGATCAAGTAAAAATACTCTCTGCTCTGCTAATCTCTATGAGGGAGATATTCAGTTAAGAATTTGATATATAAATAAACAAACAATCCTGTTCAGGAGACTAGCAAATCTGAGGCAGCTGACTAAAAGATCTTCTCCACATTCAGCAGGTTCCTTAGGAGAAGAGTTAGAAGCAGTTACACTGAAATATATTTTCTGAGAGAGTTTGTAGTAAATTGGAGCCACTTTGAATCTTTGAAAAAGGCTCAAACTGAAGATAATGACCCGTTACATGCCTTAGATCAGGGGTCCCCAACCACCGGTCCGCGGAACAAGTCCTACCGGGCCGCTGGCTTGCTGGG